TTCTTTTTTTTCTTTTTATTTTTTTTGGCCCCAAATTGGGGAGGGCTTCCCCTCATTTCCCCCCTTTCCCCCCCCCCCCCCCGCTTTTTTTTTAATAATTTTTAACTTTAACCCTAATGTTTGCCATTATTTGTCGTAGGTCTCATTAGCTACGTTTTTTTTTTTTGGGGGGGGGGGTTCAACCAAGATGGGCAGGAGGAAACTAATGAAATATAACCCAAGGCCACACTAGTTACTTATGCAAACTTTTTCGGTTTTATTTTTACTTACTAGGTTTTATTGTGTAGTTTGAATTATGGTATAGAGGTTAGTATATCTCTTTTTTTATTTAATACTCTTGACATTCTAGTCATTTTAATACCACATAATGAAGTAATAAAGAGAATGCGACATAATAACGAGCCGACAAAACAAAAATCTCGTGTTATCATAATTAAATACTGATGTTATCTATTTTATTGTTACTCAATTATATAGCTATGTTACCAAAGTCATTCCTATTCATATAAACTCATTTTGCACGAATTAAAGAGATCAGACATATCCCTAATTATAGTGAATGAGAGGGCAACCGGGAGAATTAAGGTTTGTAAAAGTATCCAACATAGCATTTCGTATTGCTAACAATAACAACACCAAGATAAAAGCACTCCTCCAAGATTCATTTAACACATTGTTGAAAAATAGTACTAACCAATTTACCACACAAGATGAAGGCCAGAACACCATGAATCAATCATTTTTGGAAGAAAAGAAGACCAACCAAAACTTCAATCAACTGATAATAAAGATGAATTATAAATTTTAAACGTTCTGAATTTGAATATTGATAATTTATTGGAACTACAACATGAGAGAATTATCTCTCATAAGTGTTCTAACCTCAACGTGAATAGTCTGTCTTTAATCAAGTGAACACAAATTCATCGAAACATCCTTGGTGGTTAAAAAAAAAGTTAAGACTATCCAAAATACCACATAAGATGAAGGCCCCTAGGACTCCATGAATTAATCATTTTGGGATGAAAAGGGGACCAACCAAAACTTAGGCTGCATCTGGAAAAAAGTTCACTACTATATCACTTTTGTTCTAATGAGACTATGTTACGTGTAAAGATTTCTTACTTAATTGTTTTATGTTATTTTATTATTTTGACAATCACAAATAAATCAAATTAAAATCTATAACTTAATATTAATTTTTAGAATGGTATTAAAAAATCTTATGTAAAATATAAGGATAAATATGTAAAAGTAATCTACATGGGTAATCGAGCGATTTAGAAATTCGCCATTAAAAAACAATGCAAAAGCGGGTGTACACAGCAAAAAAAAAAAAAATTATTATTTTTTTGTTAGGGTACACAGTACAAATGAATGAGCAAAGTAGAGGAGCCTTTGGTTTTTACTATCTTTTTTGAAGGGACGCGTGCTCCATGCTACCTCATTTTGCCGTTTCTCTCAGAAATTCCCATAATAATTATCGTACTTTTGCTTTTCTCACATGTAGTAAGATATGCTCGCTTTGTACAAATTTTTTGTACCCAAAATACCCTTTATCGGTTACTCAACAACCATTGCCTTTTTATGTTCTTTGGTGAGTGCTCGACACTATTTCATTTATTATTACTCTCTATATTAGAGATCATTTTTTCAAATATAGAGAACATTTTTAATAAAATTTTTTAATAAAGAGTAAATTTTTACACACCACTCTATGTTTAAAGAGTACNTATTACTCTCTATATTAGAGATCATTTTTTCAAATATAGAGAACATTTTTAATAAAAAATTTTAATAAAGAGTAANATCATTTTTTCAAATATAGAGAACATTTTTAATAAAATTTTTTAATAAAGAGTAAATTTTTACACACCACTCTATGTTTAAAGAGTACATTTTTACACACCACTCTATGTTTACACACCACTTTATTATAATAAAAAATTATTATTTTATATATTGTTATTTTTGGTAATAAATTTGGTTTTCCTCATATATTTCTTTCATTATTTTAAATGAAATATGTTTATTCTAAATGTCTTGGATGAAAAGACAAATATACATTTTTGTTTTTTTTTGTTCCAAAAAAATAGAGTAGAGAGGCAAATTGGACTCTTTATTTTAAAGAATTTAAATAAAGAGTTCATAAAAAAATAAATTTTAAAGATTGACTCTTTAAAATAGAGAATTAAATTGAGAATAGAGAATCTGTTAGAAATATTTACAGATTGCAGATTGNGTCCTTTCGAACTTGTGTTCGTCGCTCTTTGAGTTATTTGTTTTCTAACATAAATTCATCGTGCAAAAATTGTAACTCTTCTGATATCGGAAAAAAAATCTGAAGATTTTTATTCAATTACCACAACATCTATACAAAGGGGTAGAAAATGAAGAACTTTTAAGCAAATCAAAATGAAATTCAAAGCACTTAGGATACTGAATCTTCGTCAAGGTGGAAAAAACTTAAACTTATAGTTAAAAGAAACATGCACATTCTCTTTTAAAGATTACTTTAGCAACACAAATTTCTAACCCTTTTACTTCTCCCTTAGAGATGCTCTCTCTCCCTCTCCCTCTCCCCCCTGATGTTATTCACCTTTTCCACCACCCTCTTTTACAAGGGGTTAGCTCCCAAAAATTCTGGTTAGACCAAATACGAAGCACTTTTACTACAAGAATCGCATATAGTCACGTGTAGTTTACAACCTTCAATGGCAGCCTTGAATGTGAGAGAGATCGATGTGTTTGGTGCATGGGTGCACGCAAGAACAAAGCTCTTCTTGGACTTGCATGGTGGTCCAAACTCTGTGTTTTATATGTTTGTTTGAGATTCGAGCTCTCGAAGAGTGCCCTTTCAACTCCATTTTCTCTCTCTAGAACTGTGTCTTTCTCACTCTACAACGCCGTGCCTCGGCATCAAAACCATCCAGAACATCCGCCATGGCTTCTGCTCCTCCACCAGAAGCGCTGATGGCTTACATATAAAATAAAATTGTCTTTTGGTGGATCTCTACACTGGCTTCATTTGTCTCCCTCCTTTGGTACCACTTGCTAATACTAAATTTCAGTCATCAAGGAGAAAACAATCCAGTATTATGGTTTCATGTGCAGTCAATCACAAGTTTTAACTAAGATATATAACATTGAATTATTATTATTACTTTTTTGTGTTGAAAAACTTTTTTGAAGTAGGTCACATTGGACCCAACAAAAGTAACACCGGACACTTGCAATTAACTCGGGAGTTATCAACGAAAATCAAATATAAAACCTTCGAGTTTACGGTTCGCATACATTGAGTTCACTTCGCACTACTGGACAACCCGTGCAAATTATAATATTGAGTCTTGCTAATTCAAAATTTGTTTTAAACTAAGGCTATGCTTCTCATATTGGTGCCCCAAATCCTCCATACTAAATGGTGCGCACATTTCTCATTGTTAAATATTTAGGAGACTCACTTATATAATAGTGGTGAATTTGTTACCTCATTAGGTAAGTTAAGCATTGTTTAGCTCCGACCGACCCTCGTTATCGAAAAAAAAATTAGAGGATTTTCCAATTATTTATAAATTGGTGAGGACCCAAACCCTTCTTTTACATCCTCCCCATGCAAACCAATAGATTCTGTAGGAATATGTCACATGACCAAGCAAATGGTCTCCAATTATGACCATTTACCTTGTGCTATGAATTTCTCAATATGTGACCTCTCCATTCATCTATTAGTTCATTCACTTAGGTCCAGAATGTGGTGGTCTAAAAAATTACATATGATAGGTTTATAGTTTTGGCCTCATGCGACTAGAATGGACGGAATGTTGAAAAGAGAGTCCAACAACGCTAACCTATTGAAACTCAACTCACTTAAAAGCTTAACTATATCGGCAAATCAGGGTATATTAATAATTTTTTCCACAAATACAGAAACAAATCTGGGAACTTACCCAAAGAAAAAATTATTGAGAAAAATGAAAAGGAAAGTTGATAGGGCTGGGCTATAAGATAAGAGATGAGTGAAATGAGGGGAGAGATAAAACGCAAGTGCTGATGAAGGTTGGTCTCCAACTCTGTGCAAAGGTTCTCTTTAGTAGCATAAGACTAACATTGAAGGAAAATTGAGACCTGACAAAAATATGACATTTCAATTTTTTGCACCCGTGATCCGTCCCTTGAGATTGAAGCCATTAAGACCAGTTTTACCATAAAACGAATAGAGCAATAACTCTAGACCTCGTGCGCTAAGAAAACTTCATATTTTTGTATGTCTGTAACATACTTCAGAT